TCATAATTCTAAAAATTTGTGCTAATAACCAGCGTTGCCGCTATTAAATAAAAAAAAAAAAAATAACTGCATTACCATTTAAAATATTTCTTTTAAATTTATTTAATTTCTCAAATACCGAATTCGTAACAAATATAATCCCCAAATAGGGGACTTTAAACTATATATAATCACAAAAACTTTATTAAAAATTACAAATAAGTTATAAAATTATTTTCTAATCCCAAATATCGGATTGAGAAATATTAAATTATTAGAATCCCAAATCCCTATAGATAAATCTGCCGCAGAATCTTTCTCTCGAAAAGTTGTAATCGGTTTTTGTCATCGTCCAGGCAGGAAATATTTCTCCTTGTCTTCGTTCAGAACCAGACCCATGTACTTCGCTTCCTTATCCCGTATGAAGAAATCAGCACTCATCAGCGTACGCCAGCACTTCTACACTTTTGTAGAAAGTTTTATCTTCTCTATTCAGGTCTGCAGCTGGAATTATTTTCTCCAGGAGTAGATTGTAGTAGTCGCACGATAGAGAGTTGTCTTGTCTGAAAGCATGTTTGGTATGGAACGGCTCGGAGAGGTCCTTCCCGGTCATGAAGAAACTTTTGGTATTGCTCAACGTCAGTTTATACAGCCGACTCAGGTCTTGTCCTGTCTATCGCACTTCTTGGACTGCGGTGATGTCAGCCTTTACTCTTACGAGGTTTTGTTCTTCTGTTTTGTTCTTTTCTTTGGGGGGTCTTTTTTACGTGACGGGCCTCAAACCTAGCGTATTAAAAGCAGATGTTTTTTTGAATCCCCCTCTCAAGTGAATGGCGCTCAGAAAACTGTCCTCATTTGTGTGAATTTCTATACATGGTTTCAAGTTTCAAGCTTATTTAGAGCTTCAAGCAAATGTTAAAAAGTCGCTCTCTTAAAGCTCAAGTTTTCAAATTCTGTATACAAATACTGTTCAAAAAAGGAGATTCCGTATGGAAGCAAGCTCCAAACTTTACATTTTGATGAACCGATCCTATCGATTCTTTGATGCCGCTCTTTGAAACATGGAAATATCTTTGAGAGATATTTTTCATCCTCGAAAGATGTCAGTAGTATTACCACAATAATTAAACCTAAGGTTACACATTCTGTTAAATATTGTTACTTTTTTCTGCAAACTTTAAACTCAAATCGAACTTTAAGCCTTAAACTTAGTAAGAACTTTAAGTAAATGGCAAAAAAGCCCCCTTAGAGCTCATATCTTGCAACCTGACTGATAATTGAAGCTATCAACATTGCGTACGCGGAAGTAAAACTTGAAACTATACACATTTTATTGACTTCACTACACGTACTACCAATCGATTGATCTCTTAAGTGCCTATTTTCCATATTGATATGCCAACGACCCTTCAATAAGTCCGCCGCCCTTTCACTCGCCCTGACACTCACGAGTTATTGACGGTAAAAGCTATCACATGTCTGCCTCATTAAATAATAAATTCCAGCAAGATTATACAATCATCAATCATACAAATACCAAAGGGAAGCAGCCACAACAACAACCTTAGCAGCAACGCATGGAGAAACTGTTTGTGTAATATTCAAAGCTGCCGCGGCACGACTTTTCGCGCTTTTCACATTTTCCATTTCACCTTGATGTAGCCCGAAGGCGCACAAAGCGCAGACAAACAACAAACGAACTGCGCGCTTAGCTCCGGTAAGCTGGCAACGTTGGCGGCCAACTGCAATGACCTTGAGGCAACACGAAGTGCTATCGCTAGCGCTTCCAATTACCCACCATTTCGGGCACTTAACTTTGGCTGGCCTTTTACAGCTTTTTATTGGTATTGGTGTTATTGCTGTTGCTCTTTATTGCGTTGCATCGCGAACTTTCTGGCTCGAAAATGGCCGTGGCGCATGCGCAGGTGAAATTCGCGATAAATTATTGCTTGTGTGCATGTGTAATATTGTGAAATTGTTGTAGTGCTTTTGTTGTTGTCAAACTCGTTAACGTCAATTGTTGCGGCGCATGTGAAACAGTTTGATATCGACGATCCATCGTTTCGTCGAGCATTTGATCGATTTATGCAATTTCTTGGCATTGCTGCTTGTGTTTATGTATGCATGTGTGTGTACGCAGTGCATTTTCCCTTTCATGCGGCATCCAAATATTGCTCATGGCGCCTTTATAGCTATTTTCTTTTCTATTTTACTTTTCATTTTGTTTTTTTTTTTTTTTTTTTTTTTTTTTTTTTTTTTTTTTTTTTTTTTTTTTCTTTTCTTTTTTTTTTTTTTTTTTTTTTTTTGCGGTATTCTTTCCAGCTATTGAAATTGTGTTGTTTCTGTGGTTTTTTTACGATTTGTTGTTATTGTTGTTGTTGCAAAATGCATTTCACAAACGTGGGAACTATGCAGCGGCGTATGCTTTCATGAAATAAATATAAAGCAGTAAAATCCGCTATGCACTCAACAGCTTCGAAAGCTCAATCACTTACTCATTTACTCAGCAAATCACTCATTGCTCTTGTTTTGAAGCTGCAACAGCAATAAACATTTTATTAAGGAAGTTGTTGTATAATCAGCTGTTAGCGGTGAAATTATGRCACCAACAACAACAAAAACTTTAAAAGTAATCATGATAGTAATAAAAGTATCATCTTCATTTAAGCTCGCTGGCCGGGTTTTCGTGCCAAAGTCATAAAAATGACGCAAATTAATTGTAAAATGTTATATAACGGTGTTTCTACTATATTTAACTTTTGGGGAGTTGGGATATGTTTAGATCGTCAAAAGAGAGTTAGCTGTTGACTAATTAGATATTTCTCTCGCTAGGAAATCACTTTCTTGACAATTAGGAGCTTTTTCAGTGTTTATACATAAATAACTTTTAGCTCAAAATCTGTTAGTAATCTAATTGTAAACCAATCAACTGGTTTAGGTTATGTTGGAATGCATATACTCCATAATACTATGAATAATTATAAGAAAAAATTACAAAAAAACGTTAACTTCGGTTGCAGCGAAGCTATAATAGCCTTCACAGTTGTATTTTTTATAGCACAAAAAGCTATAAGCTTCTTGGTTGAATTAAAAAGCTTCTCATAAAAGTTCTTCATTCCGAAGGTACCAGTTATATGGCAGCTATAAACTATAGTGGTCTGATCTGAACAATTTTTTGGGGATTGCATTATAGCTTTAAAGTCCATGTTATCCTGAAGATATCTCGTTAAATAAATAAGCTTTCCGTACAATCTTTTCTTTCCGATCGTTCAGTTTATATGACAGCTATATGCTATAGTAATCCAACCTGAGATCTTTGGAGTTTGCGTTATTGGATTAAACAATAATCCGTGCAAAATTGCTTGAAGCTTCTTCGTCAAATGAATTAGCTTTTCATAAAGCTTTTCATTCCGATCGTTATTTGCTTTTATTATTATTATAAATTATTACAAATTATATTATTTATATTATATTATTTTATTATTATATTAATATTATAATAACTTGATCTGAGATCTCCGGAGATTGCATTGTTGGATTAGATAATAATCGTGCAACATTTCTTGCAGCTTCGTCGTCAAATGAAAAGCTTTTCATTCAAGCTCTTCATTCCAATCGTTCCGTTCATTGGCAGCTACGTGCTATAGTGATGGAAGCTGTACAGAGTATCTAGTATGTTGAGCATATAAGCTTTTTCAAAAGCTCTTTGGCAATATTTACATAGGAAGGCACTGAAAAGTTGCCATGATCGTAGTCTCTGACAGAGGGATAACTTTTTACAGCATCCAAAAAGTAACTAATATGTGAAACGGAATAAATATATATACCAAACCACATCAAAGCTTAGAGTGGGTTTAAGTTAAACTAAGCTTAAAAGCTTCTGTGTTAAACAACCAAGAAAAGCTCAAAAGCCCAAACTTTTAAATGGTTTAACAAGCACTGAAAAACTCAAAAGCTCAGCGTTTTAAGAAAGCTTCAGCTTTGTTTTGATCTCGAAACTGGAATGAAGTCTTATAGATAAACAACCCGAAGTTAGAGCGACCGAAGTTAGGCTTTAAGTAAAAACTCTGCACTGAAAAACAACTTGGTTTACATTATTATTATGCAGCTGAAGAAAATGTTGTTGGAACTCACTTTCACGCGTCCCACACACAATTTTAATCTCACCTTTTAACTGGTAAAGCAAAGCCTAAGAATCAAATGCGCACACAATCTAAAGTTTTACGAATAGAATGATGATCTAAAATTAGGGCTATACAATAAAGCTCTCTGCTAGAGGTGTAGCCAAGCTTAATACTTTCCCAAGGGAGTTGGTGTTGCTAGGATGGTATTTGCTCGGTTTTGTATGTATTTAGGCACTACGTTCCTAGTAGCTTTACACAAATATATTTGAGTATCTGTTTCTTCATAACATTACCAAAGTCTTCCCAAATATTTTCTGTCATAACTTTCTCTCCACAGAACTTTCCAAAAAACTCAATTCCCTCAACTACAAAAAAAAAAAAAAAAAAAAAAAAAAAAAAAAAAAAATTGGGTTGCACGGCCTAGGTTAGCAAACTCGTAGTATGGATATTATTGGCTTCCAAAGTGTTATAATTTGTTTGTTAACTTCCTTAACTTCCAACCCACTTTGCCTATTCCAAACCCATATGTTGACTTTGGTTAGGCAACTCTAGTTTCTCTTTTTTTCATAAAAATATGACAAATAAGCAATCAAACCTCATCATACATTACTTACTGTTATTGTCAAACCATTACCAAATAAGCTAAGAAATTACAAAATCTGCTTAAACATAAATAACCTTAC